AACCTCTAATAAAGAGAGTAAATAACTTCTGTTAGGTTGAGATAATTGATTTATTCCTTGTATTGTTATTTCTTATATGGTTATTAGCTATGTTTAGGTACAGCATCTACAGTTTCAAAATTTATATAGATTTATTGCTAAAAACACGTTTATTTGTACATTTTAAAACTTTAGTTTTACTGTTTTCAAATACACTTGGTCTCAAAAAACGTCTAGCAAATTTTACAGATAAAATTTTCTTACCTGGAAGAAAGGAACGTTTTTATTTTTAGTAAGTTGTAGCGAAAATTGTTGGGTTTTGATTTATGAATAAACTATTGTTGGGTTTTTATTTTTGAGCAATCGAAAGCTTCTGCCTTAATTTGGGCCCTTAACAAATGAACATGTTTGCATATTTTTACAAATATACCATTTCACTTTAGGGCCAAAGATGAGAAACTGCTATCAGCATTCAGTTCAGCAAATACATTGCGAGTGCTTTTCCCCCCTAAGGCCACTCAGAGCTGGTTAAGATACAGTTTTGCCCCTAAGGCCACTCAGAGCTGGTTAAGATACAGTTTCGCCCCTAAGGCCACTCAGAGGTGGTTAAGACGCAGTCCCTGCCCCCAGTGAATTAGCAGTCTCACTGAAGGGGCAAACTTAATAAAAGGTAAACTCTGAAAAGCTTCATAATAGAGGTAAAAGTAGTGCTCAGAGGGTTAAATTAGAAGGAGCCGATTCAGTCTGGCTGGAGGGGTTCATGGGGAAGGTGGTATTTAAACTGGGTCTTGGGCATGGGTAGCAGTTCCCTCTACAGAGACAGTCACTCCTTCCACTAATCGGAGTGTGATGGAAGTCCATCTTATGGGTGGAAGAGGAAGATGAAGTTTGGAATTTAAAGTTAGCTTTCCTTTGAGTCACAAATTGCCCTTGGAACATTTGTTAAATTTCCTGTGAGGTTTTCATGGTTTTGAGTACCCAAGCTGTATAATAAATTTGTGTACGTAACTAAAATTTGAGACCTGAACCCCATTACAGAAGCATTCATTCCATCCTGCTTCTGAAGCCTTCCTCTTCCCCATAGGGTTTACAACATTCCCTTTTAACAGTGAAACGCTATGCCTTTCATCCGTGTTCATAGATGTGTTTGTTGTGGGTTAAACAAGCTGGCATGTGAAGGAACTCAAGGTTATTAGATGGTAGGAGCTCAGTGCAGGTTTGCGGAAGTTGAATCGGGGGTCAGACATACACCTTGTTGTTTCAAATGTTGTAAAGAAAAGTGTGGCCACCTACTTCCTGTCCTGGTAAAATGGTGTTTCCTCTAGTGGCCGCATCAACCGGATGTCATCCTCATGTCCTCACACATCAATCTCATGAGCCCTTTGGAGAAACCACATCCCATTTGGAGGCTTGGGATCTGAGGTTAAACCCTGTGCCGTGTGATTCTCCTTGACAGTCAGATTCCAAAAGTGTTGGTCTGTCCTAAGCGAGCAGGGGAGAGCGCCAGCACCGCTTGAGAAGTTGTGTGATGGGAAAGCTGACCGCAGTTTCTTCGCCAGGGTTTGCTTCTTTCATAAGATGGGCCAACTGGAAGGTGGTGGACTCAGATGACCGCCTTGCTCTCAGAATTGCTGTTCTCAATCTGGGATTTCAGTATATTGCTCTGAGATGGGAGTAGGAAAAAGCTATCTGAATTTTGTTGCTGCATTTCCTATAAACACATTGCCAACCTTGTACGTTGTACATTGATGGTCCCCCTTTACATAAATCTCTGTGTGAGGCATTTAAAAAAATGTTTAGTTGCTTGGGCCAGGCATGGTAGCTCACATCTATAATCCCCACACTTTGGGAGGCCGACGTGGGAGGATCACTTGAGCCCAGGAGTTTGAGACCAGCTTGGGCAACATGGTGAAAACCAGTCTCTACAGAAAATACAAAAATTAGCCGGGTGTGGTGGCATGCGCCTGTAGTCCCAGCTACTCGGGAGGCTGAGATGGGAGGATTGCTTGAGCTTGGGCAGTGGAGGTTGCAGTGAGCTGAGATTGCACAACTGCACTCCAGCCTGGGCAACAGAGCCAAACCCTGCCTTGAAAAAAAAAGAGAAAAAGCAAACAAATAACTTGCTTTACAACTTGGTATATTTTCTCCTTTTGATGATATAAATTATGGAACTGATCATGTTTTCCTTTTTGTCCTGGCTACTTGGAAGCTCAGAGCCAATTAAAAGTGTTTTCCTTGATTATAAAACAAAAATAAAGTCATTGCTAAACATTTTGAAAAATATACAAAAGCCTCAAGAAGAAGACCTGGCTCATGACGTGAACATGTGGGGTTCAAGATGAGTATTTGAAGGCAGCTGTCATAATCAAGCCACAGAGAGGGAAGAATGGTTGATATTAAGTTGCTGAAGTGCTTTGTAATGTGTTACAGCAACACGGTTGGTGGAATTGTCGTTTTAGATCACGCAGTGAAAGCCCTGAGTTTAAGACTAAAATTAATTTCTTCAGGTTGGAATGAGAACAATAACAGTACAGTAGTTACCGTTATATGAATACCTGCTTTGTACAAGGCACTTAAAGACCATCTAAAGACCTTTTTACCTCTTCACTCTCATGGTAAGGTTAAAGCCAGATGCTGCTGTCTTTCATTGCTGACTGATGATTGGTATTGTGCCGTTTAGCAGTTGAGCATAGTATCATGGTTAAGCGTGTGTACGCTGGATCCATACTGCCACTGCTCTCTGCATAATGTTCTGCAAGTATTTAACCTCTCTGGGCATCAGTTTCCTCATCCGTCAAAGGGGGATAACAGTATTACATAGTGTTGTTATGAAGATTAAATAAACAATCTTTGCAGGGCTTGAACAGGTCATGGGTCACAGACAGCACTTACAGTGTTTGTCAAATAACTATCTTAAAGTTCATTTCTCATTCCTTACAGAATACCAGAGTATTTTGACCCAACAAATAGGGTAGGCTGAACACAGTGACTCACACCTCTGGTTCCTGCTACTTGAGGGGTTTAGGCAGGAAGATATCCTTGACTCCAGGAGGTCAAGACTTCTGTGAGCCACGATCGTGCCACTGCACTCAGCCGGGACTGTAGAGCAAGACCCTGTCTCAACAACAACAATAACAAATAAAATCATGTTTCTCTTATTAATGCCCAGAAATTCTGATGGCTTAATGGCAATGGGGATTTGAGGAAGAACTGGACTATTTAGAGCTTCTTGAACCATTTCAAAAAGGTTTTTGAGTTGTTGGTTGGGCTGTCCTTTACTAAGGCTCAGTTAGTCTGTTTTGTGCTTGTGGCTTCATCCTTTCTTCTCTGATTTGTAGGACATTGCTAAGTTTTTACTTTACTGTAATTTCAACTCTAGACGTAACTGAGACTCTGGGATTTTCCTGTTGTAACTTTATAAGGCAAGATTTTTAAAATTTATAGATAATATTATTTTGGAACACAGATTTGGTAGGAGGACTTATATTAACCCTGAAAGACAATCCAAGGTTGAGGGATTGGGTAGTTTAAAAAAAATTATAGAAGCCATTAATTTATTTGATGGACTCATTGATCCCTTGAGATCATTACATAATTGATATTCACACTCAGAAGGGTTCCTGGTGTTCAAGTGGCAGACTCAGTTTCAGCTTCACTCTTGAAGTACAGCAGCTGCAGCAGGTGCTGGGAGAAGGAGGCGGCCATGCGGGGACTGAGTGGCGTCTCAGTTCTCCCCACTGCTTCCTTTGAGCTGTTCTGGCTGCGTTCCTTTGTCTGGAAAGTGGGAGATTTGTACCTGTGACTTGTATAATAGTTTGTGTTATTTCCCTGGGTAGAGTACCTCTGGCACCTATTGTTGCTATGTGATAACTACTCTTGTTGTTGACTGACTGAATACCACTACTGCTACTGCTACTACTATTACTGCTACTGCTACTACTATTACTGCTACTGCTACTGCTGCTGCTGCGTGTTGTCTACTGTTACTAAATCTTCCCTGATGTCAGGGAAATACTCAGAGTAACTAGGAGAAGCTCTGTGGTATCCATGTAGTACAGAGTAATATTTGATCCCCTCTTTAATGTTCATTTCTACTTAACTTTTAGATAAATCCCTTAATATGTCTGTTTTAATTTTTCCCAAGAGATAAAAAAAAATGACTCCACTGTTAAATGTCAGGAAATAATAAAAAAACAAGACTTTTAGGAACACCTATTTTGGGTGCTACTAAACCACCATTGAACCCTAGGTTGGTGATCCAGCTATTTTCTTGTGCTTTTGTGTATCTCTCTCTGAATTTTATTAATTTGTCATTTATGATGTCTGTTCATCTTGCCTTCCCAGCTAGATGTGAAGTTCCTTGAAGGCAGAGATACTCTACTTTATACTTTCACTATGATCCTCTCAGTACCTTGTACTGGGGGTACTTTCTGGTGCCCACACCTGGACTTAAAGTAATATTCTATTTAATAAATGCATTTACTATGATATGTGGTATCTCATGAAACTGTTTTGATGACCTCATCTTTCTGGCATCAAATAGTAGATAAATCAAGTGTTTCATGCTGCGGTCTGTCATGCGGGTTGAAACTCATTTCCTCTACCTGTACCCACGAGGTGCAGGCTATGGGAACATGCTTGCTGGTAGCTCTTCCCTGCTTTAATCATCAGCCAGGCATTTGGTGTTTAGCCATAACACAAATGAAAGCATTCCAAAACTGGAAGAATTTTAGAACAACTAGACAACCTTGCTGTCTCTTAAGCTCCATGAGCTTCAGATTTAAGGTAGTTATGAAGGAGTCTAACTGTGACTGGTTTTCTTTTCAACACCGCACTATTTTGATTCCGATTGATTTGGCCCACGCTGTGTGGAACAGACACAATAAAGCCGGTCTTTATCAGAGAGGCAGTACACTGTGTATTGTTCAACTTGGAGTTTGTTTTCCTTTGGCCAGCAAGTGGGAGCCACCCCTTTTGCGTGGAGTAGTAACACCCCTGGAGGCTGGCCTTCGCTATCATGCCTTCCCACCCCACACGCTCTGCAGACCCAGCCAGAGGGGCTGACCACTTGTGCCTGGGAAGCCAGTTTCCTTTCCTTCCTTGGACCACTGGCATGCCTGTGCCTTGCACGGCCGGGGACTCGCAGCTGTTCCAGTTGCAGACTTTCTGACTTGCGTTTTCAGCCGAGAATGCAGGCTGATAAATGCAGGACAAGTAGTAGAAGTGTCAAAAAGGAGCTGGTGATTGAGTCCCCCCTGCAATACAAGGATGCAGCTCAGGGCGAAGTGGAAGCAGAGAGCCCGGGCCCTGTGCCGGTAAGAGGGTCTCGTACAGTGTTGCTGTATCTACCCCATGCTGGGGTCTTATTGTGCGTGTGGACGGGGTTGACGCCTGTTGCCTGTCTTTGATTTCAAAACTTGCTCTGCTTGTTCCTTGTGAACTCCTCTCTTTCCCTGTAATATGACTTTGATTCCCCTTTGATTCTTCTTTGTGAAGAAAGAAATGTTGACATTTTGTGGGTGAATGTGGTTTCTAGGAGGTTTCTTTGTATGGAACAATTATGTATTGTTCACAATTATATCCCACCTAGCTGCAGTGTTTGCAAATGTAAACCCAGGGAAGCATATTTTAATAGCAACTATAGGGTTGAAAAAAGATGTGCTTTGCAAAATTAAAACCTTTTCTGCGTTATTTATGCTATTGAGAAAATGAGGCAGGTCCCATGGAGGGGGTTTTAAGGAACATAGCTGTTGGAAATATGACATAGTTTAGAGAGGAAAAATTACATATGTTCTTCTCACGCATTTTACCAGGAGGTTTGCCTTGAATAAAGTAGGGAAGAACCTAAACTGTGAACCAGCTGATAGAAACGTCTCTGTTCTTAACATCAGCTAAACTCTCAGCATTTGGGTAGAGCCAAGTGCTTTGGTGGACTTTGTAGAGGAGGAATGTGAAAAATGGTTGTGTTGTTATCATCAGTGAGTAGGTTGTGCTTCTCTCTCGGAATTTCTTCAGTACAATAAAGGCACATAATTTTTGAAGCAAGCTGCACAAAACCACTAACATGCCCTGCAGAGGGGGGACAATTGAGCCTTTCAAATTATCTGCTAAAGAGATTGTTAAACTAATATGTAGTGATTTTATTTAGTGATTTTTTTTTCTTTAATCTGGAGGTTTAGTTGATGTTACCATGAGGTGTCTGCTTACTAATTTACTTAATTTTCAATTAATGTCTAAGAATCTGAACTTAAACTTTCCTTTAACAGATTTGATTTGAACTGAGTTTCTTTCTTTGTGATTCGTGAGACTGCCGTATATTGTATTGCCTTGAAAACTATATTACTAACCCTGAACTGAAAAAGTTAGTAAAATATCATGGTCTTTTTCACTGCAGATTTTCATCTTAGAGATTTAGGTTTCTTCTGTTCACCCTCTGCTACGTTGTTTAGAAATGTAATTCATTGTTCTGGATTCCTCGCTGCCAATGTAATATCTGGCTTATCTGTTAGGTTGCTCGCAGGCTGAATGGGTTTCACTGCTTAAAGCAGCTGATGTAACTTATGATTTCTTGGAGGAAGTTGTGTGGTTTAGGTTCCCTTGTGAATATTCTTAAAAATCTTCTGTCAGTGATTCTCCAGCTGTGTAGAAATATTTGTCTACAGGACTGAATACACTGTAGAAAGATGCTGTGTATTTTTTTTTTTTTAAGCACACAAATGACTTTTTAAACTTACTTCTCTTTCTAGTGCTCAAGAAATTTGCCATGTATGTCCCAGCTATTTGTTTAGGTAAATCTCACTCCAGGCAGTTCCACTGGGGTCCTTTTCCACTGCAGTGGATAAGGCTGTGCTGCCTACAGCTGCAGTTGGTGGGAACACTTGTCACGGCCCAGCAGCTTCTGGCAGCGTGGAGACCTCAGCTCTGCGCACCTGCAGAGAGGCGTGAGGGAGGGAGGAAGCCAGTAGTGGTACCAGGAGTTTTTTCTTATCGGGCAGTGTTTCTCTTCTTCCAGCAGGTTAAACAAGATAAAAAGAGCTGATGTCAGATCAGAGAAGCAAGGATATTTCAGCAGGGCCTCTGCCCAGGGGCAGATCTCTTACCTGTGGCTGTTGCTGCCCACCGGCAAACAGGAGTTCAACAGACTGCTGGGAAGACAACTTCTTTCTCAAGATGATTTTTCAGAAGGAGGCAGACACCATGTGCAACCTGTTTGTGGCAGTACTATTCATTGTTACAATGTCAGGGGCCCACGGGCTTGGTGAGAATCCCCAAGACTGTCTATCATTTGAATGAATTCTACCTAGAGACGTTTAAATGTAGGTAACATGCTTTATTCAGGAGGTAGCATTTTGAAATAAAGTTTTGCTGTTTTTAGTTATGTACAGAAACAGTCCTTGGGGAAAAATATTACCTAAGTTGAAGAGGATAAAATTAATTAATGCATGTAGTATAGAAGTAGGAAAAACAAGAAATGCAAATAGTGTAGCAGTAGGAAAAACAGTGTCCTTGTTTTGAGTCTCCAGTGGTGACCACTATTAATAATTCAGTGCATATACTGCCAGACTTTCTCCTGTGCCTAGAACAGTATAACTCGTGTGTGTGTTTAGAGGATGTACTATTATAGTAGATTTCGGGGTTAATTTTCTCCCAGAACATGTCAGTAACATCTTTTGTCACCATATGTGGATTTATGCCTTTTTTTTTTTTTTTTTTTTTGAGACAGAGTGTTACTCTGTCACCCAGGTTGCAGTGCAGTGGTACGATCTCGGCCCACTGCAACCTCTGTCTCCTGGGTTCAAGTGATTCTTCTGCCTCAGCCTCCCAAGTAGCTAGGATTATAGGTGCCCACCACCATGCCCAGCTAATTTTTGTATTTTTAGTAGGGACAGGGTTTCATCATGTTGGTCCGGCCAGTCTCGAACTCCTGACCTCAGGTGATCCGCCTGCCTCAGCCTCCCAAAGTGCTGCGATTACAGGCGTGAGCCACCGCACCTGGCCTATGCCATTATTTTAAGGGCTGCATATTATCTCATTTTAGGTCTATACTATCACTGGATGGGTTTTTCAATTTGTCTCTAATTGTTTGCATTAGTAACGAGGCTACCATAAAGGTACCCTTAAGTAGATCTTAAAGCATGTAGGCAAGCCAGTATTTGTTCTAGAAACTTTCTATCAGAAGTTCCCTCCTGCCCTTATGATTGGTGGTAATGTTTTTTCTCCTCTGCCGGGGCCACCTTGAAGGTTTCCCTTAGCAGTGGTTGCTTGTTTAGTGTTACGGAAAGTTAGTGTTTCTTTTTCTTTCTCTTTTTTTTTTTGGCGATGGAGTTCTTTTTTTTTTTTTTTTTTTTTTTGAGATGGAATTTCTCTTGTTCCCCAGGCTGGAGTGCAGTGGCTCAATATTGGCTCACTGCAACCTACGCCTCCCTAGTTCAAGCGATTCTCCTGTTTCAGCCTCCTGAGTAGCTGGGATTACAGGCATGCACCACCACGCCCAACTAATTTTTGTAATTTTAGTAGAGACATGGTTTCATCATATTGGTCAGGCTGGTCTCGAACTCCTGACCCCAGGTGATCCACCCGCCTTGGCCTCCCAAAGTGCTGGGATTATAGGCGTGAGCCCCTGCGACCGGCTAAAAGTTAGTGTTTCCAAGAGAATATGTGTTTGGACATTATAAAGTTTCAGAGGCTGCAAGGTTCAACTTTACAGGTACCTACATGGGTGGGTCTTGTCCCCTGCATTGTGACAGTAAGTGAGGGAGGAAGCACATGGTGAAACTTCCCCATTTCTATCCAGGCTTACTGCCAAACCCACTGAGAAATGGCTTTGGGGGCTAGAAATCACTACCAGGGGAACAGGCAGGATATTCTTGATGTCTGCATGTTAGTTTCCCTGCTCACATTTGAATACCTATTTTTACCCCCTACCCCCCCAGCTCTAACATAGTTCCTGGAAACAATTTATTCTAATTGTTACTGCTCAACAGTTTAGAGGAAAAAGGTGTGGCTTCAAAGTGCCGAAAAAGGCTGGGTTCTATGTCATTTACGCAGCCCTTTCATTGGGTTACTTTTGTGAGGATGGTAGGGACTGCAGCACAGGTCTTATTCTGGGAATTTTTAAGGTCGAAGGATGTGAAGATTGAGAATAGCTGAATTGTCCTGTTAGGTGTACTCATTAGGTACTTTTTGAAAAGGATCAGCGGGTACTGTGACTCAAGCCTATAGTCCCAGCAGTTTAGGAGGCCAAGGTGGGCATTGCTTGATCTCGGGAGTTCAAGACCAGTTTGGGCAACATGGTGAAACTCCGTCTCTACAAAAAATACAAAAATTAGCCAGACGAGGTGGCATGCACTTGTAGTCCCAGCTTCTCAAGAGGCTGAGGTGGGAAGATTGTTTGGGTCTGGGGGAGTTGAGGCTACAGTGAGCAGAGATCACACCACTGGACTCCAGGCTGGGCGACAGAGTAAGACCCTGTCTCAAAGAAAATAAAAGTTTCTTTTCAGAGACATCTTTTGGGTGGCTCATATTTTTCTGGGATCCTCAAGTGTTAAAAGCAGAATTTTAGTTCTTATTTTAATGTTTGAATGACCTCATGATTACTTTAGCTAAATAACTCTGTGAGAAGGCAGCACAAGTACTACAAGTAGTAGACGGACTTGGCTTCTGGTTGGACACACCAGTACATTACCTGGGAACTCTTCTGTCCCCCAGACAGAGGAGGAATGAGACGAGAAAATCTTTCCTATCCCTGAAGTTCTGTTTGCTCTAGAAATAGCAGACTAAGTGAAGTATAAGCTTATGGGCAGTGATTAGGTTGTTAATTTTCAATTAGACTTTAGGTGACTGTGATTGAGTTAATTAAATTGTACTTAGACAATAAGCCTTTCTGCCCTATAGGTTTTCCTGCATCCTTAGAGACAACTTTAGAAAAAAATAATTAATGGTATTACATCAATAATATTTAATAAGTAGTTTCCTTGTTTTTAAAATATTGGATGGTGAAAGAAAGATGTTCCCAAAAGATTTATATAGTGACCTATTCCTAGTGACAAGAACAGGAAATTTTACTTATTCAAAGCCATACACGTTCACTACAATGCTCTTTGTGTTTCATTTGTTTATTCATTAATTCATTCAACCCACATTTACAAGAATGGAGACTTGCCAGTCTTATTGGACAGTGCACGGAGGTGAATGAGATCAAAACCCTTCCTCTCCCCAGGCAGCAAGGCATGAGGAAGGAAGGGGTTCATTCCTCTGGAATGCTTTCATGTGATCTTTATCAGGCACAGTGAGTGTTAACGCCACCCTGTCCTTT